AGTTACATTCACTTTGAAGCCAAAGACTCACATAAACATATGACAGGATCATGCTCTTTAATTTGGAAGTATGTTCTAATAAAATCTTTCTTTTCTTTTCTCTTTCTCTTTTAATTTCTATTTTTTTTTTTTTTTTGCTCTTTTTTTGTTTAAGACTTTCTACCTTTCCTGTCAACTACATGATCTGATCTAGTGGGCTCTCAGGTTATGTGCAAGCTACCACAGGACGCACTAAGGGCTGTGTTTCATACCTGCCCTTGTATGGTAGCTGGGTTATCATGGAGTAACTGCAGTGATTCCAGTTTACAATCTAGGAAATTAAAGGCTGACTTGTGTGCCAACACTAAAAGCTATTTTTTCCACATAATTAGTTATGGCAAGGGCTTTGCTCCATTTAATTTCGGGTCTTGTTAGCTCTTTTAGTCTGTGGTGAGTGTTGTGGGTAGTAGTTTGCTTTGCCCATCCGCAGTGCTTACCTGAAGGTAGCAGTAAGTTGGGAATAAGTGGGAATAAGTTTTTCTGGCTTATTATCTGAGGCTAGCTGCCTCTTGTGAGGTGCAAGGCTGCAGGTCCAGTTGTCCGACCTCTTTCCTCGTGTATGCAACTTGCAATCCCCTTCTCCATCTGCAGCATCAGGAGCTGAGTGGCCAAAGCTCTTCCACTGCTGTCTTTGGGATAAATCTGTGTTCTGGTATTTCATCAGTGGATTCCAGGACATGTAAGCTTTCTGGTGAAAGAAGATTTCTCTCTGTCCTAGAGGATAGAGCCTTCTATTAGCTATGAGCTCAGAGCAAGTTTCACTAACAGGTTTTAACACACCATCTCCTGTATGTCTCTCTTGAAAGCAGCTATGTCGAAAGCTACATAGGTATTTTGAAGCAGAGCTGTTTCTTTTTTAGCACTACAATCTAGCTGGCTGCAAGAACTTTCCCTTTTAAAATGAATGTAAAGCAAAAGCAGGGAAAACACAAGGACTGAATGCTGTGCTGAATAAAGACCTCATTCTTGATTCAATAGAAAAGCTCCTCTGGTTTCAAACATTTTGGTCAAGAACTTTCTGAACTGAGAATCAATGACTTACCAATCATTTCTTTCTTAGTCAAGGAAATGCTGTGGGCAGAAAATACATTAGTTTTTTGGTTGTGGTTGGTTGTTTTTATTCACCATGAGAGGTTTGAATGCAACTTTAAAAAAAGTCTCCCAAAGTACTCACCTTTCCAGTTCTGTTACATGATGTTTATTTTATGCTACCCTACTGTGTAGATACAGACTTCAACCAGGCTGGTCGATTTCCCCATCCCAGCTGCTCTTGCACTTGCTTCCAAAGCTGCAGCAGCTCACTGTCTTGCCACGCTTGTTCTTGCAGCTGCAGGGGAAATACGATAATAAAAGAATCATAGGGGGAATCATAGTTCCTTTCTTTTCACTTCAGGAACTCAGATGTCCATTTGGCCCGAGTCTTGTAGTTTATTACTAGGCTAGTCTATTACTCTTGGGCATAGTGGCCCATTACATTGGGATTGAAGTGTGAGGATTGTACCTTTTTCTGGCATTTCCCAGTGGCAACATCTAACGTGGAGCGGGGAGACCACTAGCACCTGCACAAAAAAGCTTGCAGCTACAAGAAATACTTTATATACTTTATATTTTCATTTATGTACACTCATGTATTTATATACTTTGTATCTTCAAGTCAGCATAGCTTTCAGTCCTTGTGTTTTTCCCTGCCTTTGCTTTATGCTGTTTTTTTCTCCCCTGTACATGTTTTCTGAGGTGATGACCCCATGCAAACTAGCTTTACATCATCACAGCAAAACTGTACTGAAATGGGCAGTCAACCTTTTATTTAATTTTGTGTCTTTTTTTCTCTACGCACGTTGGCATTTCGTCAACAGGGAATGAAAAATCTATTTCCTCCAAAGAACCCTCCTACTCTTGTACATTCTCTTCCATATCTATCTTAATCACCATGCTTTAGGAAAATAGTCAAACTGGTCTTTGAACTGCTCTTTTATAGACTGCACATCACATAGTGTTTGGGCCTGCCCTAAAATGGGGTATATACACTTTTAACTGATAAAGCGAGATCCCTGTCAGTCTGATGGTGTTTGTAGGTGTTTTCAATTTTTTTTCCACAAAAAGGGCCAGACATGCACATACTAAAGCTAAAAAGTAAAACTTTGCTTAAAACTTGCAAGACGTGAAATACTACCCCAGGGCCAGGAGGAGCCTGTGACGAGCCTCCATTGCTCCCGCCCAGACCGCCATCTTCTGTTCGGGTAAGGGCGCTGGCGTCAGGCGGCTCCGCGGCACCATGGCATTGGCGGCCATGTCGAGCGCGGGCAACCGGCAGAGCGCCAGCGTCCATGGCGAGTGAGGGCGAAATGGCCACCGGAAGGGGCGGTACCCGATGGCCCTTCCCGAGGGGCGGTGCTGCGTGACGCCCGGTGGGCTACACACGCCATTGGACTGCCGCCTGCGTCGGAGATTTCCGGTGCATTGGAGGGAGGCAGTGTCCGCGGAGGGACCTGTTTAGGAGGTGTATATAGGGGTCCGTGGGGTGGCTGGAGCCGGGCGGTGCTTGCGGAGAGGTGGGCTGGCAGGTGAGGGTGCGGGGACGGCGGGGCTCGGCAGCGGAGGCGCTGTACACTCGCGGAGGAAGGGATGGGCCTAAGGGACGGTACGTGCGGGGCTGTCGTGGGGCGCAGCTGTCGGTGTAGGGCTGCCCAGAGGCAGTAGCAGGTGCGGGGTATCGGCCCCCGGTGTAGTGTTGGAGCTCCGCGAGGTGCTGGAGGGGTGTGCAGCGGTGCGTGCGGACCATGGGGGAGGGCCCTGGGTGTGCCTGGGGTCTGTGGCAGGAACGTATGGGGCAGACAGAAACAGTGTTGGGGGACGTCCCTGGGGATTGGTGGGCATAGGCGCAGTGGCATCCTACATGTGTTGGGAAGCCAGTGGGCCTGGAAAAAGTTTGCTCTCTGCAGGTGATTGAAGGTCATCAGAATAGATGACTTTTTGCTAGTGGAAGGTGCGGGCTTTGCCAAGTGGAGATGTATTTTGGTTTACGTATAAGAAAGAGGATGTTAACCCCAAGAGGGGGATTAAGATGAAGTTGAGACTCTGCCATGGGAGGACAGTCAGTCTTTGCTGAGTGAGTGTATCAGTTTGGGAAGAGAAGAATGTGCATAGCCCAGGACTGAGGGTAAGGTTGAGTTCCTAAAGAAAAGAGAGGGTCTCTGGTCATGGAAACTTGGTCAGGTCCTGGTGTACAGTATGGGAGGATCTGAGTAGTGGAGAGAAGGGGAAGTCTAGCTGTGAAGGATGTTGGTGTCAGGAGGCAATGGAAGAAATATTTTGTCCATGGACAAAAAATCTGACAACAGTGTCTTGTGGCTCCCTGGACTCATAGGCAGCCGATGTTTATAGTAACAGCTATTCCATCCACTCCCTCCAGTGGCCTAGTCATTCTAGGTCAAACCAGTGCAACCTGAACTGTGTTGCTAAAAGGAGGAAAATGGTTAAGTGGAAGTTTTCTTTATTTTTTTTTTTTTTTTAATTTTGATATGTATTAAATATTTACATTAAAAGACAGGTTATAGGAATGCTATTATGTGGTACTTAAGTAACTTGTTTAGAATTAATCCCTATATTGTTGTGCATATGTGAAGGGCAATGCAAAGCTAAAATTTTTTTTTAAGCTGTAAAATATGGCAAAGCAGCATAGCAGCTTAATCCTAAAAATACAGCAGCTTTATTACTTTCAGTAGAACTGCTCAAGTAAAGCTAATACATAAAAACTGTCATGTTCAGTTTGTAATCCTTAGATTAACTGTAAATGCCGTTATAGATTTAAATGGAATGATACAGATCTTATTGTATGGTCTGCGTTTCACTCTACTTCTGAGTTCCATGTAGTTTAGAGGGAGAGAGAGAGCTGTGGATTGACATTCACAGCATCAGTGAATGCGGGAGAAGAATGCTGCTTACATCTCATGAAGATCTGCTTGGTTTTGTGTTTTGTCACTAGCTGATATATTTGTTTTGAAAACCCTATAAGAAGATATTTATTACTTTGCTAAGAAATATTTTAGAGAACCACAAGAAATACTGTTCAAACATAAGAAAAACCTGGTTTAATGGTGAGGATCATCAAGTGCTGGGAGAGGTTGCCCAGAGACATTGCTGAGTTTCTTTCTTTGGAGATAAGCAAAAGCTGTCTGGACAAGGCCCTTAGCAGCCTCCACTGGTTGACCCTGCTTTATTCAGGAGCACTGAGGAGGTGATCTCCAAGACATCCCTTCCAGCCTCAGCTGTTCTGTGATTCTGAAACTAGTAGTCCAGAGCTTTTCAGACTGCATTAACTTGGGATAAATACTCTTCAAACATGTCCGTGTCTCTCTTCATACAAAGGAAAACTCTTCAAATAGATACAAACCTTGGCTTGGAAGTTCCATAGGATTTGTAAGTTTTCTGTGTAAGGCCTTCCAGGCCTTATCTTCAAGGTGTTGCTGTCCTTGGCTTTAATTGACTTTGAATGCTGAATATAAGAACAATTTTGTTGTTATGAAGTGAACTTGTGCCATATATGCATAGGCCCAGTTGCTTGCTAAAGTTTAACCCAGACAATTTTTATTAATACAGAGAGAGATCAAAAAAAACACAGACTGAACCTGCATGAAGATTTCTTTTCCAAAGAGTGTGATAAGGTACAGTGTTTCCATTTTGACATTATGGAGCAGTGGGATTTTTTTTCCCATCGATTTGCTGTTTGCAGTGCTAATCCTAGTGGTGTCTTGTAAGACTTAATGTTTGCCCAGTATTTTCTGAAACTTTTTAAGTCCTATCATCTGCACTGTGTTGGCATCTTGTTACCGTGATGGATTGACTGTGTTAAAAACCCTTAACTAGATTGATCGTGTGGGTGTGTGTTTGCTGGATTTAAGAGTGCTTTTTAATATTCAGAGGAACTTGGAGAAGGCAGGAGTCTATATGCTTTGGCCACCATGTCTGGAGTTGGCAGTAAACGGGCAGCTGGAGAGCCTGGTCCTTCTGCACCTCCAGAGAAGAAGACAGGGGTTGAAGATTCAGGGACCACTGTGGAGACCATAAAGCTTGGTGGTGTTTCTTCAACGGTATGTCTTTCTCACACACCCCCACTCAACCTCTCACATTTTTTCAGCTGGAAACAAAAATAGCTCTCTGCCTTCTGAATGAGTGTAGAGATCCAGCTAGTGTGCAGTGTGCTCTGACATGTGCCTCTCTACAGGAGGAAATGGATATCCGGGCCCTACAGACCAAGAACCGGAAACTAGCAGAGATGCTGGACCAGAGGCAAGCCATTGAAGATGAGCTACGGGAGCACATTGAGAAGCTGGAGCGTCGGCAGGCCACTGATGATGCCTCTTTGCTGATTATCAATCGATACTGGAATCAGGTTAGTAACATGCTTTGTTATTTTGTATACACTGTTCTCTTGCCTCTTTTTCTGTTCCACTGCACTCCTTTTTTTCACATCCATTCTTTGTCTTGTCTGTCCCATCATTCAGTTTGATGAAAATATCCGCATCATCCTTAAACGCTTCGACCTGGACCAGGGTCTTGGAGACCTTTTGTCTGAAAGAAAAGCACTGGTGGTACCAGAACCTGAACCAGACTCGGACAGTAATCAGGAGCGCAAAGATGAGAGAGAGCGAGGTAAGGCACCTGACTGGGGACAGTGGAAAAGGTGGATTTCAGTGGTGGACAATGTTTATGTCCCTTTCTAAAAAGTGACAGAGGCTCTCTGATTGTGAAGACTAGTGATATGCTGCCTGGCAAAGCACATTTACATTTTTTGCTCTTCTTTCTGTTCGCAGGTGAAGGACTTGAGCCGGCATTTTCATTCCTAGCCACTCTAGCCAGCAGCACCAGTGAGGAGATTGAATCTCAGCTGCAGGAGCGTGTAGAGTCTTCCCGCCGTGCTGTTGCCCAGATTGTGACAATGTATGACAAACTGCAGGAGAAAGTGGATGCGCTGTCCCAAAAGGTGAACAGTGGAGGTATGTCCAAGGTGGCTGATCCCCCTTCAAGAATCCTTAGCTACCCACAGCTTAGACATGATTCTGCATTGTAAGTGTTAAGGCATTGTCCTCTTCTCAGTTGGGATAGGGTTAATTTTCTTCCTAGTAGCTGGTGTTCCAGCTTTCGTCTGAGAGCAGTGCTGCTAACACACCAGTGTTTTAGTTGTTGATCAGTAGTTCTTACCCTAATCAAGGACTTTTCAGTTTCATGCTGTGTGAGGAGGGGCACAGGAAGCCAGGAGGGAGCAGAGACAGGACACCTGACCCAAACTAGCCAGAGGGGTATTCCATACCACAGCACATCATGCCCAGTATATAAACTGGGAGGAGTCACCTGGAAGAGCAGGTTGCTGCTTGGGTCAAGCTGGGTGTCGATTGGTGGGTGGTGAGCAGTTGAATTGTGCATTACTTGGGTTTATTTTTTTTCCTTTCCCCTTTTTAGTTTTATATTCTCTCCCCTTGTTATTTCCTTTATTGTTATTATTAGTAGCAGTATTTTACCTTATTTCAATAATTAAAGTTTTCTTATCTGCACCCTTGGGTTTTACTGTTTTTCTAGTTTTCCTACCCATCCCATTCATTGTGGGGAGAAGTGAATGAATAGCAGTGTGGTACTTATTTACCAGCTGGGGTTAAACCATGACAGACATAGTCCTTCTCATGCTTATTTATGTTCCAAAATAAATTGCTTAGCTTTCCAAACTCTCAATAACCAAAACCTCTAATAAAGACTAGTACTGCATGCTAGAAATGTCTTATAGCTGCCTCTAAATGTGAATGGTGAGAACGCTGTTGGGCTAAGGAAAGGCTTGTTCCTGCCAGTAGTATGTTCGTGCACCTGAGAAGTTACAGATTACAGTTGAACCAGCTAGCTGTCCTCAGCCACTGCAAAAAAAGAAGTAGTGAAATCAGTATTGCAAGCTGATGTTGGACTCCTTCTCACTTTGAGTTTAGCAAAAGGTGTAGGGATAACCAGCTCCTCAGTTACAGCTGAGTTTTGGGCAAAGTAGTAGCCATTTGATGTCTTGGTATGCCCAGTGTCAGTTTTGAATACAAAACAGAGCTCTGCAGAAGAAAGCCAAATGACAAGCTTCTGAAAATTAATGTAGCAGATTTGATTTACACTTAGATGACTCTCTGAAAAACTTAAGCTTAGAATTTTAATCTGTTGAATGAAAATTTAGGTGGGATATCAAGTCATCCTCCTTGGTTTGTATTCCATCCAGTGTTCTATATGCTTTGATCAAGGAGCTCTGGAAGGTCTAGCATTGGTGTAGCGAAGCATTACTGTCCTTAGTTGGCAGTCTTGAACTCTGTACTAGTATTGGCATTAGTGCAATATGAGCCTGTACTCAGTTGCTATAATTCCTTACTGTGAGGGTGGTGAGACACTGGCACAAGTTGGCCAGAGAAGTTGTGTCTGTCCCGTCCCTGGCAGTGTTCAAGTCCAGATTAGATGGGGCTTTGAGCAACCCAGTCCAGTGGAAGTTGTCCCTGCCTGTGACAGAGGGTAGGAACTAAATGATCTTTAAGGTAATCCAGTGATCCAGATGATCCAGTTCACACCATTCTGTGAATTGTCACCTGGTATGTTAGCTCAAGCTGCCTGTTGTAGCAGGTTTATGCATGAATTTGACCTGCATTAAGGTATCACTGGGTTACAAGGGCATGTTCGGTGTGGCTGATACTGACACAATTAGAATAGGGTTTGACATCATAGGACAGTAACCGACAAACAGAAATCTGTAGTATGTTAAGCTGCAGAGCCTTTTGCTTCGTGAATGTAAGTCAAAGCTCTGGAGATCAGATGAGATCTGTCTGCTGGAGAGATTTAGTAATCAGAAGTTAACCTCAAAAACTTCCTCTTTGCTTGTTTGCTTTTTCTTTCTTTGCTGCTTAAGAATTAAAACCAGATTTTCTTTGTTTCTGTTCATTTCCTTTTCTTTATGCATCTTTCAGATATTACATTGATGGAAGAAGCCGTCCTGGAGCTTAATACCTACCTATCACATGAAAATGGACGGCTGCAGGAGCTAGCTGATATTCTTCAGGAGAAGCACCGCATAATGTCTCAGGAGGTATAATAAGGAGAGAGAAAGAAATTTGCTTTGGGGTCCTGCTTATAATAATTTGTGGTTACCATAGTTTGAAAAGCATGTATTGCCTTGAAGAGGGACAGGAGCAACACAGTTTTGAAAGTTACCTTCTGAATGAAGCTTATGGAAAGGGTGGGTGAACTGTGGAGAACTGTACATGTATTTTTCTATACAGTTTAAATTGGTATGCTTGCTACATCACTGAATGAAAGCGTATAATCATATTGGTGAGTTGAATGAATGTGATTTCAAAAGAAAATAGCAGAGGAAGTGGTAAGGTGATGCTAAGGTGGTTGTGTAACATCTGAGACATTTGATGTTATATCCCTGTCATTTCATATTCCTTGATTTCTCTACATCATATCTGAAAGCATAGTGACATTAATTGCAAGATGATCCCTGTCATTAAGGGCTTCACATTATTGCCAGTATTTGTTTCACAGGTTGCAGTTCTTTTAAAAATTTTGTTAATGCTGGCCTTCCTTGGCATTAGAGCACCATGTACTTCAGTAGTGTGCAGAGTAGATGAACATATGGGTTGAAAAGATTTAAAAAAAAAAAAAGCCTTTGAATAAGCTTTGAAATGGTTCGCTGTCTAGGCTGTCAGATATTACCAGCTTGTTGCTCTTTCTCCATTTCAGTTTTATTTTCAGTCCTGTTTTTGTTACTGTGTTGTGATTCAGCTGGTGTAAAATTCGGGACAGTTCATTGAGTAGTCTGTTGCCACACCAAAGATGGTTGGAAAGCATATGAATCCAGGGTATTTAAGATAAAAAAATTAATACTGAGCAGTCTCAGAAAATGCTTCTAATAGAATTACTCTGTTCAGTTGGCTGACAGAAACACTCTTTTGATTGCAGTTCTCCAAGCTGCAAGAGAGAGTGGAGACAGCAGAATCTCGGGTATCTGTTCTGGAGACTATGATTGATGACCTTCAGTGGGATATTGACAAGATACGCAAGAGGGAGCAGAGGCTCAATCGGCACTTAGCAGATGTTCTGGAACGAGTAAGCACCATCTTCTTTGTCAGGAAACCAAAGAAATGGGTGTAATTTTGAGATGTGTGGCATCATCTTATGGCACGTTGCTGTGAGAACTGAGATTCTGTAGTGTGCTGTCTTTGGTCTTGAATTTGCTGTATCAGCAGTCTTGGCATTTATTTGGGTACTGATGAAATCTGTTACCTTTTTTTTTTCAGGTAAATTCCAAAGGCTACAAGGTGTATGGAGCTGGGAGCAGCCTCTATGGGGGCACAATCACCATTAATGCCCGCAAGGTAATGTTGTAGGCTTGGTTGTGAGGAGAATTAAAGTCAGGGAGAGTTTGTGTGTAGGGCCATAAATTGGAAGAAAATTTAGATATCTTCTTTGTCACAAGTCTAGGTGACTCTGGGCAAGCCATTTTGTCTCTGTACAAATTCCCTACTTGAAAAACAGACCTGATGGCTGTAGACTGTCTCACTCTGTTGTGTTAACATGGCTCAGTCTGTAATTACTGTACCTAATTAGTACTCTCAGTAGATATAACAGGAGGATTTACAAGAAGTTTATCCCCAACAGTTTGAGGAGATGAATGCAGAGCTGGAAGAAAATAAAGAGCTTGCTGGGAATCGCCTCAAGGAGTTAGAGGAACTACGCCAGGATCTTGAGGAAGTAACAACACAGAATGAAAAACTCAAGGTGAGACATCAGTACCTATTATGAAGATGAGGGTGTTCTGTGTGGTGAAGTTGCCCTCTGTCTTGTTAACTGTGTCTTTGGAAAACCTCATTAATACTATTCTACTCTGTGCTTGGTTTTTAGCTAGGTTGTGTTTTGTAGAAGTTCACAGGTTTGTGAGACACTTGCAGTTCAGTGCATTGGTGACACCATGCGGTCATAGTTGGAAATATGTTTCTTATTTCCTGTTTTCCATTCTGATCTGTTAGCTAGACATCATTAAAATATACTGAAAACTAATTTTAGCTTTTCAGAAGTACTAACCCCTTTTCACTTCCCCCCTTCCCTGTGCAAGTGGAATCAATGCACCGAAAAAAAAATCCATGGACCTGTGTAAGAGAGCTTGGCTCTAGGAAGAGTCTGTGAACTTAAATCTTTTACTTTGTGGCAGAATGAATAGGTAGGAAGCAGTGTATGAGTTTCGTATGTCTAAAAGGTAGTAGCACAAAAAACTGTGACTCTGTAGTATGTAAGTATATGATACAGATAATCAGATTTTTTCTTAGTGATCTGTTAGGCTGTGATAAGAAACATCTGAGCTTATGACTTAAGTTTCAGAGATTAGATTCCAGAAACTGTCTTGAGGTGCTTCTGAATTCTGTTTATCCACATGAGTTTGTTTTGAAAGATACACCACTTGGCTTACAGCTTCCTTTTTCTCTTAATTAGTGTTAAGATATATGTGTTTGTGTATGTGTCTGTTTCACTCTGGTAGTCACAATGATTTACTAATCTTTTTTTGGTAAGGAAAGCTCAGATTCTGTACTTCTGTTTCTCTCATTTCTCTTCCTTTCAATCGTTACGGTTTTCACTGGTAGAAAGCTAACATAATGCCTACATGTATTTTCTGTAGTTTTCTATCATACCTTTCTAGGTGTCTGTCTTTATTGATTTAGGTGATTATAGTTTTACAGTAAGTCCACTGAAAAGGTATATCATGTTTTCCAAGCTCATATCTTTGAGAGAAATGGTTGCAGAACCTGAGAATCAAAAGCTTTAGTCATGTGACTATGCCAGAGAAACAGCCTGCTGGAATATGGAGAAAGCATAGATTTCAAATTGGTATTGAAGCATCTACTTCATAGCAATGTTGTTAAAGTTCTGCTTTTTTCTTTGCTTGAGGCAGCTTACTTCACTCTTCTGCTACTTTGCACAATAGGTATTAAACACAAGAAAATACATTTTCTTTGTGGCCTTTTGTTGTGTCCTGACTAGGTTGAGTTGCGACGAGCAGTGGAAGAGGCTGTGAAGGAGACCCCGGAATATCGCTGCATGCAGTCACAATTTTCTGTTTTGTATAATGAGAGTCTCCAGCTGAAGGCACACCTTGATGAGGCCCGCACTCTGCTTCATGGTACTCGTACCACACATCAGCGCCAGGTGGAACTGATTGAGGTAGCACCTCTGTTCTGTCAGATTAGGGAACGTTTTCATCTCTCTGACCATCACTACTGAGTCTGGGTGGCTCTAGGAATGGTCAGGAAATTTACCTTCCTGGCAATAGTTCATTTGTTCTCTGGTAGCTCATGTTCATGAGCAAATGATTCCCCAGTGTCACAGCACCAAATTCTGTCCCCTTCTTACTCCTCAGAGGGATGAAGTCAGCCTTCACAAGAAACTGCGCACAGAGGTGATTCAGCTAGAGGACACCCTGGCGCAAGTCCGCAAAGAATATGAGATGCTGAGGATAGAGTTTGAACAGACACTTGCTGCCAATGAACAAGCAGGTATATAGTTTTTCTGCTATACTTAAAACCAAACAAACACCACCACCAGCACTCCTGCCCGTTAGGAGCTGTACTGCGTAAAACACCTGGTTTGATTCTTTGTCTTTTATTAAATACTTATCCTGGCAAGTTTCTATCTCAAAAACCCCAAAACTCCTCATGTTTTGTGGTAGGCCAGTTGCATGTTATCTGACTTCTTTTTAGATACTACAAAATACGCACACTTTGCTAACAGTTTGGTTCATGGCAGAGTATTTTGCATTATTAAAGTACTCTGGGGAGATTCTTTCAGCTCTGGGGCCCCTGACACAAGAGGGACATGGACCTGCTTGAATGAGTCCAGAGGAGGGCCATGAAGATGATTAGAGAGCTGGAGAACCTCTCCTATGAAGACAGGTTGAGAGTTGGGCTTGTTCAAACTGGAGAAGAGGAAGCTCTGGGGAGACCTTAGAGCAGCCTTCTAATACCTAAAGGGTGGCCTGCAGGAAATCTGGAGACAGACTTTTTACAAGGGCTTGCAGTGACAGGACAAGGGGGAATGGCTTAAGCTGACAGAGGGAAGATCTAGATTAGACATTAAGAACAAGTTGTTCACAGGTTGCCCTGAAAAGCTGTGTTTGTCCTATCACTGGAAGTTTTCAGGTTCAGGCTGGATGGAGTTCTGAGCAGCATGATCTAGTGGAAAGTGTGCCTGCCCGTGCTAGGGGATTGGAGCTAGATTATCTTTAAGGTCCCTTCTATCTGCAAACCATTCTGTGATTCTGTGATCTAGAAAACATCTAAATGACAACCTGGATAGGAAGGCAGTAACTTTCAAATTTCATTACTTGAAATAACTTCTTTATTTCTAAAGTAGCATTTAAATTATAGAGATTTTTGTAGCATGACACTTTTCACTTAGGAACATGGGGGAAGAAAAGTAATGTTAATGAGGAAATTGGGACTGGAAATGCGCAAGGACTTACGGTTGCATGTGAAGCTGGCATGACTCTCTTCTACACTTGCTCTTTTCTACACTTGCTCCGTTGTGTGGCAGAGTGATAATAGTTCTATTTTGGTTCTTCATTGTTGCCACTTAGCTTGTTCTCCATCTCCATGGGAGTGTCTCAGAAACTTGGCAAAAGTGTGTTTTGTTACAACTGTGTTTCTGTTTCTGTAGGTCCAATTAATCGGGAGATGCGTCATCTCATTAGCAGCCTCCAAAACCACAACCACCAGCTGAAGGGAGAGGTGTTAAGATACAAGCGCAAACTGAGAGAGGCCCAGTCTGACTTGAGCAAGGTATCAGAGCACGAAACGCTGGGAAAGAGCAGAAAGTGCTTTGGAGAAAGGGGAATGCTGTCAGTCTTGCCTGCAATATTGACTTTTCTGATACAGCATGCAGTGTAACTTTTGATGGAGCTCTACACTTCTACTTTAAGCTTCCACTTACCAAATGAATGGTCTTCCTTTGTAGCAGTAGAATGCTCCATGGAAAGTAATAGAAATTGTGGGGAGAGCATGCAAGCACGGATCTGGGTAGACAAAGGGAGGGAGATAAGGTAGACTTCTGGTGAAGAACTTAATTTTTTTTTCTGTCTTCTTTCTTGCTGTGCTGCAACAGATCCGCTCTCGCAGTGGTAATGCTCTCTTGCAGTCCCAGTCCAGCACTGAAGAAACAAAAGAGGAACCTCCAGAGATCAAGCAGGAGCCTGATGATCCTTCTGCCCAAGTGTCTGTCCCCAAGGCCACTTCTGAAGATATTACTGAAATGAAGGCTAGGCGAGATGAAGAGGAACGGGAGCGAGAGAGACGGGAGAGGGAGAGAGAACGAGAGAAGGAAAAAGAGAAGGAGAGAGAGAGGGAGAAGGAGAAAGAAAAGGAACGAGAGCGGGAAAAGCAGAAGCAGAAGGAATCTGAGAAGGAGAGAGAATCCAAAGAGAAGGAGAAAGGGAAGCATGAAGATGGAAGAAAGAAGGAGGCTGAAGTGATCAAGCAACTGAAGGCTGAACTAAAGTAAGAGTTGTTGTCCCTCCCTTTCCTGCTTGAGTAGTGCTCAGACTGAAGGGTTTGTGTGAGACGACCTTGTAGCTTACGAGATCAGCTTCACTGAAGCAGAGAGGTTCCTGGCACCCTCTATGTCTGATTGTGATTTGGACAAAGTAGTAACACTTCTACAACAACCTAAAACATGAATTACCAAACCATTTACTTCATGATGTAAGCCAAGTAATCTTTATTTTCTTCTGGCATAACAATTGTTTAAAGCTTTACAGCAGTAGGTTATTAGTAAAGGTCACAGTAGTCTTCATTTGCCTTGGATCAGCACTAAAGCAAAAGTGGAGAGTTTGTTGCTTCCTGTTACAGTATATGTTTCTTCCACACCCCAATTCTCTTGACTTTTCAGTCCATGGGCCTGAACGTGCTTCTTTTCAGTTTTCAGGCTGTACTCCTTGGCTAAAAGAAGCCAAGGATGACTCCATATACGTACCATATGGGAGATGGAGAGAATATTGCTCTTGAGTTTCATGCTGGATATGTAGCAGTGTAGCTTTCCTGCTTGTTCTCACAGTTGCCTATCTCTCTGCTTCCAGGAAAGCCCAGGAAAGTCAGAAGGAGATGAAGCTGTTGTTAGATATGTACCGTTCTGCCCCCAAAGAGCAGAGAGACAAAGTACAGCTGATGGCAGCTGAGAAGAAGGCAAAAGCTGAGGTAAATCTCATTTCTCGCCTGTTTTTTTTCAGTGCATTACTTGAAACTTCTTTTTGGATACTCTGCACCTGAACTGTGTTGCTTTTGTCTTTGTCAAAACTGAATATTGTTTCTCTTCTCGGCTTTGTTACTTAGGAGAGAGGTTGGAATGGTCAGGAGATGAACAGGGAAATTTTAGGATGCCCTCCCCGGGAAGGGATAATCCCTTTGCCCATGCTGAGGGATGGACATGGCTCCATCTTTCTCAGTTTCAGATTCAACCTGTAGAGAAGCCAAGCACTTGTCCCAGAGGCATACACATACAGAGGTCACTGACAGCCCACAGAGAAGGTGCTACCTTCAACAGCATACAGGACTCGCAAAAGATAACCATAGGCAGCCAAGTTCCCTTCCTTCTTTTCAGCCAGTGGAGATAGAATGTCACTAGTTCAGGCACACGCTAAACAATGTGTAGGTACACAAGCACATGTGCATTTGTACATCCCTCAAGTATCAGCATGTCCCCTTGTGTTTGATACCCCCTGTGATACCAGGCCCTTTTACCTTCTGCACATACAGGTCTCACCAGTAGCTAGCACTTAATTCTGTTGCAGCACACATACGCATGGTGTAGAGAGTTAGATTACACAGAGACAGTTAAAAAAATATTTAATAAGAAGATATAAGAAGGTAAGACAGGCTGCAGTGATCATGCATAGGGCTGACCCAGACAAGTGTGTACTGACTGGCCACATTTTACATGTGACTAGCTCCTTTTATGTTCTTCTCTGCCTAATCCAATTTTTTTTCATTCTTGCTCTCCCTTCCTCTGTGTTTCTCTCCTGGGTTTGTACAACTCTTATCGATTCTCACAGTTACCCCAGTCCAGGATCCACCCCTATTTTACAGCCATATCAAGTGCAAAGTCCAGGTTTATCTTCCTGGAAGTGGTGCCTGTAGTTTCTTGGTAACCCATCAGTTACTGTGACTGGGGAGATTTGTTTTTTGTCTTTGCCTCCATGTTTGTTTTGTCAGGTCTGTGTCTCTGTGTATTTTGTTTCTAGCTTCCTCTTCCCTCCCGCCTGTTTCCCAGTTGATTCAGCCAGATAACCTTGCTATAATAAACATTCTCACACCCTCACTTGCTCTTACCAGTTCATGTGACTGACCAGGTTTGGTTCTCATCTTTGCCTTTTGACCATTTATCTGTCAGGTTTGTCTCCATAGGTTTTGCTTATGGCTTCTTCCTTATTATCACTTCTGTTCTTGACCAGATGCCCTCAAAGGAGCAGATGCTCTCCATCCATGTACCCTCACATGTAGAACTGCAGGACACTGATGTTCCTATTCTGATGCTGTAGAATTTTCAGAGGGTTTGAAATCAAGATCTTGGGCCTACAGCCCATCTTAATTGTCCGTCTACCAGTAATACACTTCCCTGCCAATATGAGATGGGTTCTCTTTTTCCATCCTTTGAAAGCAGTTCTTCCAGTGTTTCAGAGAATTGTGGGGAAAAAAGGCTCTTAACAACATTAGCCAACATTCTTGTATTTAGTGTTATTTGTGTTTTTTCCTTTCTGTAGCTGGAAGAACTGCGGCAGAGGGTCAAAGAATTGGAAGACAAGGAGAAAAAGGAGAGTAAAAAGATGGCTGATGAGGATGCCCTCCGCAAAATCCGAGCAGTGGAGGAACAGATTGAGTATTTACAGAAGAAACTAGCCATGGCTAAGCAGGTGAGAACTTTCTGAAGGTTTCTGCTGGAGCATCTGGGAAGGAACTACCTTCAGGTTCCAACTGGGAAGATTACCTGAGAGAAGGAGTTTCTGTCTCTCTGTGTGCCAGAGGTGTGAGTTTTGTCCCTGTTTATCAAAGGGGAAAAGCCAAAAGAAAACCGTCAACTATCAAAAAAACCCCCACAATACTAGGGTGTCACAAACCTCATGGTAGGAGTGGTGGGGAATGTTTGTGGCCTACATGAAGAGCACAGAGGAGAGATGTCTGTATCAGTCTTTATGGGAGGAGGTTACAGTTTCTTTTTAAAAGTATTACCTGCACAGTTCATATAATTAATACATGTGCATGGTACTGTGGCACACCTTTTTCCACAAAAAAAAGGGCTTAATCTCATGATAAGAAAGCAGGAGCGCCTCAGTAGGGGAGAGGCAAGGCAGGGTACTTGACTGTACTTTTTTAGAATTCAGATTGTTTTCCTTATAGTACAAGACTGTTCTATCTTGTCACTTAACTCTAATGTTGAGGTGGCTTAACTGAGTTTAAGGGGCTTGGCAGTCTGTTAGTTGGAATCTGTCAAGCTGTCCACATGTAGAATCTTTGGCCAGGTGGATATGACAGCTGTTTAGCTAGCTCCCTGAAGTTGAGAGCTGTTTTCTGCCTATCTCTGGCAATGAATGTGTCACAGCTGAATTTGCCAGCAGACAAGCCACAGTCTGTGAATACTTGTGGAGATAACCATCACTTTTCTACAACTTCTAGGTCAGGGTATGTCTGCTGTGTGTAGACTTCTAAGGAATGCTTTTCTTTCTAATTGCTGGGAGATACTGTTCTCTAGTACTGAGACATGTTCCTTCTTCTGTGCCGGGTTTGGTGTCTCTGAGTAAAATGTCCAGGGTCATTGTAGGGAGTACAGGAGACAGTTTTGCCAGAGCCTGGGATTCTTATGCAGGAGGAGGAGGCCCTGCTGTCAGAAATGGATGTCACAGGCCAAGCATTTGAAGACATGCAGGAGCAGAACATCCGTCTGATGCAGCAGCTGCGGGAGAAGGATGATGCCAACTTCAAGCTGATGTCAGAGCGCATCAAGTCCAACCAGATCCACAAGCTGCTGAAAGAGGAGAAGGAGGAGCTGGCAGACCAAGTTTTGACACTGAAGACTCAGGTAACCTGGGATAATGAGAGAGGACAGTGGAACTGATAGGGAAAGGTGGAGGTGTTGCAGGTTAACTCTGGTAGGCAGCTAAGCTCTACACAGTTGTTTGCGTACTCCCCCACAGTGGGGTCGGGAACAGAATCAGAAGGGCAAAAGTGAGAAAACTGGTAGGTTAGATAAAGGCAGCTTAATAGGTACAGCAAAAGCTGTGAGCACAAGCAAAGCAAAACAGGTATTTATTCACTGCTTCCTATGGCAGGCAGGTATGCAGCCATCTCCAGGAAAGCAGTGCCTTATCATGTGTAATTCTTACTTGGGAAGAAAAACACCATCACTCTGAATGTCCCCCGCTTCCTCCTTTCCACCAGCTTTTCTTGCTGAGCACAAGCATCATGTGGTATAGAATATTCCTTTGGTCAGTTTGAGTCAGCTGTCCCACTCTGTCCCATCCCAGCTTGTGCACCCTCAGCCTACCTGATGGCAAGCAGGATGAGACAGAGAAGGTCTTGATACTGTGCAAGTACTGTTCAGCAGCAGCAAAACCAGTAGTGTGTTACTGATGCTGTTTTGGTCCCAGATCCAGAACATAGCACCAAGGATACTGGTTCCAACAGTGAAACAGGATGTTGGATCACTGGTTCACTGCCTTGCAGTGATTCTGTAAGCCACCTTCCAAAAAATAAGACTTCTTTGTTGAGAATATTTGACTGCTAAGTTTTTAAGTGTTTGCCAGGGAGGTCTGGATACAGCTCTTAGACTGCTAATGTGTCTATTCAGGGAGAAAAAGGTATGCTGAAGAGGTACTCCTTGGTGATGGGGAGGCAGGGATAGTTTTAGCATTTAGTTTTAATAACAACTCTGAAGACCTACAAAGTATGCATTTTGTTCCTTCTCTAACTCCTCTCTCCAAGGTGGATGCCCAACTGCAGGTTGTACGTAAGCTGGAGGAGAAGGAACATTTACTGCAAAGCAGTATTGGAACAGGCGAGAAAGAACTGGGTCTCCGAACACAGGCCCTGGAAATGAACAAACGCAAGGTAAGTTATTGCTTGATTTCCTCTTGGATTGTAAGATGAAGTTGTTGTCTTGTGGGAAGCATAGAAGGCTCCTAGCTCTCACTCATACTATGGAACATGATATTCCCTGGTTTTCGACTAGTATACTAGAATGCTGAGGAATCCTGAAGAGAGTTCTGATTAAAGTATTGTAGACTGATATTTCCTTTGATAAAGGGGAGCAGGTCATAGGTGTTTCTGTGAAAATCTGATTAGGGAGCGGAAGTAAGGTGACTTTAAAAGGAAACCTATTGTGAAAGAAGCAGCAGCCAGATGAAATTAACTGGGGTCAGAGTTTTTATAGGAAAGATGGGGTAAGTAAAAGGAAAATATGACTGGGGAATGTTAAGACCTTTAGCAAATGTCTAAGATCAATGAAGTAGGTCTCTTACAAGTAAAATAAGACTAAGTCTCAGGGTTGATGCTGCCCATGTTGTTAAATCTTCAGTAGAAACGCAGCAGTGACATTAAAACAGATAGAAAGGAAAGCAGAAGTATCACTGTGAAGTAGAGATGGGGCAACTTAAGCACAATGATTTCTGCTTAGTGTCTGCTTAGTACAGTTGTGGTATTGAAGGAACTTGGCTAATAGATTAATTGGTGAGGCACAGTTAGAAAGTAATAGAACTGGTGGAAAGGGAAAATGATTAAAAATAAACACTTATCTTGCAGTTCTGTCTAGTTCAGCTGTAGAACTGCCTATAAATAATTTAGTAGGGAAAATGTAGAAGGTGGAAAGCTAAAAATACTTGAACAAGAGAACTGTGTGGTCATCAGTATTTTTTTAAGTGATGTGCATTGCAGTGTGACAAGGGTTGGCCCTACTGAAGAGGAGTGTTTAAGCTCAGTGGTTGGAACTTGTAAATAGTAAGATATTTTGCTGTTGAAGTAATGTTTAGGGCTTAATTCCAGTTATTCAATTTGGAAGTACCAAAATTGAACTGAAAATTGTATCTCCAGCTGCCTGATGAATATTCTGTGAGCAGTCTCGGATTCCCAGGCAGAGGGACTAGAAATCACTGGAGCTCTTTTTCCATGTTTGGTACTTCCTATACTGGTTTTCTCCTTCAGGCCATGGATGCAGCCCAGCTTGCAGATGATCTGAAAGCCCAACTAGAGCTGGCTCAGAAGAAGTTACATGACTTCCAGGATGAAATTGTGGAAAACAGAGTAACTAGGGAGAAAGAGATGTTTAACTTCAAAAGGGCTGAGGTATACACCTGATGCACAATCCTTTAATACCTGTCTGCTTTGGTGTCTGTCCTCTGGTAACTGAGTTTGGAGTGGGTTTCAACTACACTACTTTCTTGGGGGTCCAGTTTCACTTTGATTTCAGCTTCATCAGTTTTGTCCACTGCTAACTGACAATACATGTAGGACCAGATTATAATGTAATCTTTCGGAAATCTGTTGGACTATAGGGGATGAAAGTATGGGTGGAGTGACCTGGCCAGGTGCTTGTTCTCTTTTGTCTTTGAAGAAGCTGTGACTAAGCATATATTGCTCATTTGTTTGGTCTTTTGTTTCTATGCAGGAAGATATTTCTAGGTTACGCAGGAAGCTGGAGACCACTAAGAAGCCTGACATGGTTCCTAACTGTGATGAAATACTGATGGAAGAAATCAAGGATTACAAGGTGAGTAGCTGTTTCTATAAAATTCCCTCTTTAACGGTACTTTAACCAAAAGGCTGTGTAGTCATCTTTTCAGTATTTGACATCTTGTCTCTATACTCTGGTGTTGTAGCCTTATCTTGTATTGAAGAAACCACCTTCTTATGGAATGGAAGGCCATTTCATCTTCAGTTATCATCTGACATACACAGTGCAATGCATTGGGCCCTCATTATAATGTTTCTGTCTTGCAGGCCCGCCTGACGTGTCCATGCTGTAACATGCGCAAAAAGGATGCTGTGCTCACGAAGTGCTTTCATGTCTTCTGTTTTGAGTGTGTGAAAACACGCTATGACACCCGGCAGCGTAAGTGCCCCAAGTGCAATGCTGCCTTTGGGGCCAATGACTTCCATAGGATCTACATTGGTTGATTCAGTCCATAAAATGATTCCATTCTATCTGGAATGATGAAAAGTTACTGCTTGTATTGACCACTCAGACTCCCTCATTTTCTGTTATTGTCACCTTTGAGGCAGTCAGTGCTTCTGTCAGCTGATCTGCAGTCTCTTCTGGAAAGTAGGGTTAGGGTATTGGGAGAAGCATATTCTGGATCTTGGTTCCCTTGCTTTCTTTTACTCTTGCTCTCATTTTTTGTGGATTCCTTGTGCTTCAGAGGACATTTGCTGTACATCACCTTGACACTGGCGGGTTGGGAACATCTAAGTGAAGTCCTGCCTTGATGGGATGAAAGCTGTGGTGCAGCAGAGATAAATGAGGCTTTTATTTGAGGAGTTTGCTTTGGATGTTCTTTATTAAATCCCATCAAGGTATGGTAATGTTTCTGAGAGTTAACAGTTTCCTAACTAATGGGCCAAATAATGAATGTATAGGTACATCTGTAGACTTCAGTGGAGTGACTCCTTACATATATAACTCCCTCAGTCAGGTTGAGGTATTGCTGTTACTGTCCTGTTTCCAGAAAAGAATTTGTAGGGGTTACTTTGTTGCAAATTTGCCACAGAGATTAATCTTACAATGCATAAAATCTAATAAAAGCTATTTTCTGGGTGTTTTTCTGGGTTTTCTTGTCTCTGGTAGTATCTTGTCTGTGCTCCTGTCCTTTGTCCGATTACTGGAAACATTCTTCATAGGCTTTAACCTTCTATAGTAGAGAAATCAATTTATTCCTTCATTTGTTTTCAGAAAATGCTTACCTAAAAGAACCTTTGCTTTTTTGGCTGTATCTTCACTACCTGATTCCTGACACAACAGAAGGACCAAAATGCTGGATTATTTATACGGTCGTTTTGTCATGGCCACTAGGAGTTTTGTGAAAGGACATAGCATAGGGTATCGTCTCTATTGCTCCTTGTAGTGCAAGGCTGCATTTGAATTCTTGAACAACAATCGCTCTAAAAACATGAAGTAATTTATTTACAACATTCCTTCATTGAGCAGACTTTTTCCTGTAAATTTAATTTTCTTGGAAGGTGCAGCTGTTAGGTTTGTCTTATCTGTGTCCCTTCCCTGAATCATAAAATCTTTATTACCTTCCTGTATTCACTGTAGGGAATTATAAAAACAATAGTAAAGTGAAATGCAGACTGTCTTACAGTATGCGTTATTATCGTTGTGAAAACATTCAGAAAATATGAATAAAACCTTGTAAATAATTGTGAATCTTGAGAGGGGAACATGTGACCCTGTCTTTACAAAGCGGGGCTGGGATGCTGGGGTTTGTAGTATGGCTTGTTCTGCTACAGCATGTGTAGAAGAAATTAAAGTAGAATCCTCTCAGCTTTCACTGGAAGTTTGTCCATCAATTACAGTTTGCAAAGGCAAGTTGGAGAAAGAATAGTGCATTAGGAGTACTAATGCTGGTGGTAGGTTTTTTTGGTACAAGTGCTTGTTCATCAAAGCCAGGTCCTGGGTCACCATCAGGCATTGTCTGGATCTTCAAACAGCTTTGCTGTAACAGCAGACTTCCTTTTACAGCCATGAACAGCAATCTGAATTAAACAGCCCTTGCAGAGTTAGGAAGCCCCTTTACTCCTTCTCACACATTTAAGTCACATCACCTTTCTACTGAAAATCAAGGTTGAAACTTTTGTGTATATGTTGTTAGTGTTGGGTTCACTCTGGTCACGGTAAGAAAAAAGCACTTGAAAGAGTCTGAGGCTTGGGAACCCCTATTTTTTCTTTCCTCACCAAGACAAATAAAATACTTTAAAATAAGAAAATATAAGCTTAGGAAGTCCTTGAAGCTCATTTGGGAAGTGACTAAATATTTCTTTCTGCTTATCAATTTAAACATTGAGAAGCAGTGAAAATTTTAGCTGGTCTTTTGACTGGTCAGAATGAGTGGGAATAATTAAAAGTTTATCAAGACTAGAAATATTTTGGGGTAAAAGGGAGATGGTGACAAGTTTATTAAAAAAAAAAAGTTTAAATTCAGTGTCAAGGACAAAGTGTAAACAAAAAGCCTTATCTACAGTCTCCAGTACATATTCTTGTCATAGCAAATCCTCCCCCAGCTTATGCAGTTGCAGACATTGACATGTGTGTGATACTTCCCATCCCATAGAAAGCTACAGCAGTGTTTTTTTTTCTGTTCCCTATGGTATTGGGAGGGAGCAATAGCTGAATAAGAAAATAACATGCTGAAACTTGTCTCCTCCCAGAAGGCTTCTACTTGATGCGGCAGTAATTTGAAGCAGTCCGTATTCTGCATTTGACATAGGTGTAGCCCCTAAGGCATCCCCCAAAAATACAGATTTTTGCCTTAATTAACAGGTGGTTGACATTTTTTAACTTAAATTTTAATTTTTTTAAATGAAGATTGATCTGTTTGAAGATAGGGTGTTTGAACTTTTCTGGGTTTATGAATATAGAGATAAGGGCATAACAAACTGTTAATAGACATACTGATTAAACTGCGCTGAACTACCTATTTATTAGCATTTGTCTCATAATAATGAAAAGAAAGGAAGGAAAGGACATCCTAGGTCTCCCAAATCTATCCAATGTATGGAGCTCTGGATCCCCCTTGCCTGTTTTATATCCTAATCACTCTCTCCTGTGCTACTGACTGTATTTGAAAGAAGCAGATATGCTGCCCAAAAGCAGAGGCTAAGAACTGACCAGGGAATAGAATATGAACACCTTTTGATGAAGCTAATTATTCCAGGTATCACTGCTGTCAGGTTTTAGAGGTTCATGCAGAGCTTTCCATTTACAAGTGGTTTTCAGGGGTTCAAAAAGGTAGAATGTCTTTTTCAACCCCCCAAATATATTTTCAGATCAGCCTAAAGCCTTTAAACCATTCATGGGCAGAACATCAGTGCTGGCAACATTCACACAGGTGGCTGGAGAAAGAGGGTAAAAAATTACTTTGGTGACGTATCTGAGGGATGTGAGTTAATTCTGACAGTATTACAAATGTTCTTTGTCATACTGGATGTGTTGGGAAGTGTTGGTCAAAAAATTCATAGAAACCCTGTTTAAATAACACAAGTCAGTTGGGTTAATACAGTATTTATTCAGATGCTGAACAGCTTACCCTTCCTTCCCCTCTAATCATCATCCAGGTGGAAGGGAGCTCCACTCAGTACATAGGCTTTGAAACCACAACTCTTGTTCTCTTTCAAAGTGAGCCCTGGCCCACAGGGAGACTTCGGTGTGACTCCCCTTGATTTTGGTGGGAGCTTGGAGTCAAAATAAATCATGGACCAGAGCCCCTCTATGTCACTTTGGCTATGAGGAAGAACCTTATTGTCTGCTGAAGACAGAAAATACAAGGCAGTGGTTTCATATTGTTAGATACTTCACTTTGGGTGGTAAATACTGATGTACAGTACTGCCATCCTCCCTTTCCATCATCTTTGTTCTGTGCCACTGAGAACCCATCCCCTCACGCTGGCTGGTGCAGCTGTTTGCATGGCTTCTCGCTGGGTGGCAGTGGAAGCCAAACCTGGGCTCAGAAATAGGCAGAGGTGGTGGTTTGGTTTTTGTCAAGTTATTTTTAAGCTGGGTGAGTTCCTTTATCACAGTTACAGAGCAGCCACATCTGCATTTGTGCTGACATAACTGAGGGAATGGTGTGTACTGGGATTGCCACCAAGAATTTGTCTCATGAAACCACAGCATGTACTAGGAGGGGAGGGATTGCCCACACAGAACTAGCACCTGGTGTAATGAGGCAAACATAAGGAGCCTTAGCATGAACAGAGACTAGACCCATAGATACCACAACAAAAATGTACCAACAAGGGACATGCTTCCAATGAGCAGTTTAAATTTCCTTTTTTTTTTTCTTTTTTTTTTTTTTAATTCATGCACAGAAAGGGCTAGAAAAATGGAAACCTTGCTATACTGTCAAGTGGAGGAACAAGGAACTCTTGCTGTTTGGATGCTCCTTATTTCTCCAGTTTCTTGGGAATGGCTGATATTTGCCAGGAGAATGATAAACTTGTTATGGAAGGAGGAGGATTCAGTAGGGTGGCTGTGGGCTGCTGTGATTCTGCTCTCATAAAGAGCATATTGCCTGCTTTATTGTTGCACCTCTTTCTGGCATTATAAAAGTGTGTTACAAATTTTACAGAAGAAGAGGAGAAAGGGGAAAGGGCCCAGGTATGCTGGCCTAGGGCTCTGCAGTCCTGTTTGTCCTCTGATACTCTTCCAGCTCTGATTTCCTGTCCATGGCGAGTTGCAGCTCCTGCTTGATGATTTCGATCTGCTTCTCGAGCTCCGTTAGCTCTTCCACCACTGACATCCTACCAATATTGAGGGACTCTGCTTTCCCGTTGGTTGTTAAGGAAGCTGGAGTCTCTCTCTTCACTGGTGGCAGCGGGATGTCTTGGTGCTGTTGGATCATCACCTCATTTTGCCCCTCGTCAGTGCAGATATATTTTTTCCGGTGGCTGTTGCCCAGATTGGCTGTATTCCACACAGCATGCTGGCTGTTCCCTACGTGGGACCTCAATAGAGATGTGAGAGTTAATATGAAATCTGAGCCTGCCCTGGTGTGTATGCAGCCCTCCCCTGTGTGCCATCTTATTGGAAAAATATGATGCTACCATTATGAATTACACATAAATACCAATAATTCCCTCATCCTTGGGATTATTTTTCTTGAGAAGCACAAATCATGAATGTAAATGGCCCAATTTTTGTGATTAAGCCATAGCAGAGACTAGAACAGAATCCTAGACTTTACCTTCCCTTCCCCAAATATTTTTTATTAGTTATGAAATTACAATCCTCTCAACTCTAGCTCAGGAAAATGTGTGTGCTCCAAACCTTTCTGAAAGCTTCTGTGGTTGCAATATCCAAAGTTGATTACAGCGTTAGTCCTTTGTGTGTTAATGCCCTGTGCTAGCTTGGGCATTTGCTCCCATGGAGGAGGAAAGTAGCTTACTAGAGTTAGTATAGA